CAAAACAAAAGCGAAACTTCAGTCTCCAGGAAAAAAAATTGGTAGACACATCATCCATTACACTACTAGCAAATGACATGAAGGACAGATGTCACTTACTGTCCTAGAAATACACAGTACAGTACTGCGTTGTTATTTCAATGATGTGAAGTTCAATTAGCTTTAGAATGTCTCATGTGTTTACAGATGGCGGAGAAAAGACTTCCTTCGAAAAGTCTCACGGTTCTGAACGAGTATTTGCAAAAAGGCTTCCTCAAAATTACCTACACAATAATTGGGAGAAAGCAGCTGTGCTGGTACTACACAACTTAATGAGTAGTTGAAAACAAGCGACAACAAAATTGAAAACATACTTGGAGCAAAAAACAAATACCAAAATAAAATTGCTTTCCATCGCGTCGAACAAAACAATTTTGCCGTGAAACGAGCTGGGAGGCAAGGATCGGAAAAATATACGGTAACTCGTATCAAAATTGGATTCATGAACGCGCACTGAAATAGGTGAAAAACAACGCCTCGCAACAGCATATACTGTATTTTTAAATGCACAAATTAGATTTCATTACTTTTTCTGAACTCCGGGAGCTTAAAAGGTACTCTTGTACATGCGAAAAATTATCTGAAATCCCTCGGCGGCAAAATTGAAAATAATCTCTCACCTTGAGAACGTTTTGTGGGTCAATCAATTCCACTTCTTCCTCTGGGCTCTCAGCCTTCACGACAGCATGGAAACTCATGGTTAACACGTTCGTTTTTTATTCGCGAGAGAATACAATAGAACAAAGGATAGCACGTTTAATGGGCACTGATTCTGCAAACGTCACAATCGTGTTTAGACAAAACGTCACGAAAGAAGGGATAAACATTCAAATCGAATTATTTAACATATTTGAAGAGATCTTTCGCAACACAGTGGTCAATGCAATGAATAAAATCCATGATCTCTTCTTCGCACGTTTCAGTCGTCTCTCCTTCGCAGCTATTGACGCGATCATTGCATTCTTCCAGTCGGGCTTTGAGCGCTACACATTTCTTGTTTGCTTCACATTCGCCCTGCAATAAAACAAAAGATTGGTACAGGATGTCTCCAACAAATTTTTTGCAAATTAGACTCGGGCTGTCGACGATTCTTGAATCGGAAATCTAACCGACTTCAAGATAAACAACTGCGTAAAAATTGTTCGTCTTCGAATGCAGCAAATCTACGCTGCTGCTGCAAAAACGTGGCTGACACAGCCACTGATTATTTTCGAGTGAATTACTGTATTGTACTGCCACATTGAGTCTCGCTCGTGATGAGCGTTACTTTCCTTGATGGCATGTTTCTATTTTATTTTCAATTGAATCTTCATCTTCGACAGTAATTCCGCAACAATTCAACCGAAATAACAGAAAAGATCTTGAAAGGGATTTTATTTTCTATGGAGCTTCGCATTAGAAAGTTCAAAACTTTTTCGATTGTAACTCTCCGCTGGAACTGACTCACTAAGGGATCCAAATACAGTTCGGCAACCATTGATTTCAAAAATTTAGCGAGTAATCGATTTCGAATTTCAAGGAAATTGATGGGAGATCCACACCTTCAGTCGTTCCAAGGGGTCGGACATTTCTCCGTCTTCTCCGCCACCATCACCATTCCCGCCTTCATCCTTCACTTCTTTCTTTTCTTCTTTAGCTGGTGGCGGTTCATCTTCTGCTTCTTCCTTCTTTTCTTCTTCAACTGGTGGTGGAGGCGGTAATGGCGGGGGTTCTACAGTTTTCGATTCTTCCTCATCGGAATCTTCATCGCCATTGCCATCACCTCCGTCGTTCTTATCCTCTTTTGTCTCGTCACCATTCCTCTCCGCACTATCGTCCTCTGTAAGAGAGAAAACAGTGGGATTAAGTAAGGCGACATAAAGATTTCTTTTATCAATATTTTCACATTAAATCACACTCCAGTAATAATTCCGACAGAGAAAGAAAATCGACACATTACGATTACATCAGCCACGGGGCCAGTATTACAAAAACAAATATATCAGGGCTTTTCAACCTCATTCCGGGTTGTGATACCCTCCAGACAAAGCAGTGTTGACATACCATCTCACGGATACCAATAAAGTACCACTAAGGAATAGAAGTAAAGTCAAAACGGTTCGCAGCAATTTCTAATACCCACACATCACCCATAAAATACTGCACCAAAGATTTGAAGCACGGACAATAAACAGTCCGCAGCTATTTTATAATGTCCACACATTACACATACAATTCAGAACACAATGCTGTTCGAACTTCCACTTCGTGACTGCTCTATAATTTCATCCTAACATTTTGCATTCACAGATTTCGCCAACTCAATTCTCTTGTACGGTACGTATCCTCATTCTCTCTGAGTCGCATCATTCCGAACGCTTCACGTGAACCACACGTATTTCCCAATTTCTCATCACTTACTTAAAACCCAATAGTTGAACGTAAAAAAACCTCGTAAAACAATGGTTTAAAAGTTCTGATTTATTGGACATTAATTATAATGCAGTACCCTTTTGTGAAAGGAGACGAACGCGTTTCCAGTGAGGACCGAGACATCGTCCTTCGTCCGCATAGTGGGTTTCATAAGAACCACCTCCAGACACATCGTTCTCAAACTTGATTCGATTGCTCGCAACTGGAGCAGTTTTCACTCTTCTTTCCGGCGGAGATAACTCCAACCGTATGAAAATGTCGTCGGCAAAAAACATGTTGGTGAAATCCTCAATTTTGAGAGTAAACCCGCCGAATGACGAGGCGAAACGCGTTCCACGGGAATTACTGGGTGATTTGGAAGGTTTTTACAGACGCACGGGGGAAAATGCGGCAGATTTTCTTTCGAGAGGGGTGGAAATTATTTACGGAAAACTATTTCATCCTTTTTTTCATACGTGAACCATCGAATTATTTCATCGGGACTTTCAAGCTGAGCGTGGTAACTTTTAAATTATGCAATATGATAGTCGATAGTGGATCTCGTACGGATTTTGTGAGCCTGATCATGCTAATGTCATGATCAAAAGGAGCTATGCAATCATCGCACAAAAACAAGGTTTCAGGGTTCATTTGCAACGAAACTGGTGCGCTAACTTGTGCGAATTTAAATTTTCACCTTTTTCAACTAATGAAATATAAACAAGGTTGGCTCAAAAACTCTAGGTGATCAGATAATTTAACATAATTTCCCAGAATTTTCAGCTCCCCGGATAATGTTGCTAGTCATGAAAAATATCGTCTGGAATCCCTTACACAACATTATAAAAATATCGTCTGGAATCCCTTACACAACATTCCAGAATTCATGCAATATCATTATTTGTGACGTCTGAGTGCAACTCATTGTTTTAAAAATGCAACTCAGTGGTATTGGAAGTTCATGTATACCACGCTTTAAAAAAATTTGGAAATCGAAATGCTTGGAGTGCTCGAAGCAATTTGATGAGAATATTCATAAAAGTGGGACAAAATCGTATTCATAGACTTTTAAATGAAAAACTGGGCATACATTTTTCTCGAAATCACGCGGGTACCTCTTCAAATTGAAGATCGAGGAGTTCATACGTGACATAGCTTCAATGTTCAAGAAGTGGAAACGAGTTACAAAACAACCATCTGTAATGAAGGTACACTGCGATTTACAGAGAGGAAATCCGCTAAATGAGATTGACGACTTTTAGCTGGGATAGATTGCTTAGAAATTAAATATTTTTCAACAAACAAAAGATTTAAAGTACTGTACATTACAGTACTAGAAAACTTTTGGAAGACATACTTCCAGCAATCTTTCCGTTCAGGCAACGGCAACAGAAATCACGCATGTAACTCGCTCATTCATTTCGCCCGCACTTTGTTACACAAAATCACTGGTACAATTCAGCAGTCAACATGTAAAAAACCTCGAAAAATATGGCACTATCCGAGCCCAGTGATTTAAACTCAGCACATCTTAACCAACGTCTTTCTGTACACGTATAAAACGACTTCCATCTCGATTCATCTGTTGATCGATAAGAAGTCCCGCTTTCGCATTTTTTTCCATGAATGTCGATATCACAAGTTCATCGGTATTGTTCTTGCATAAACGCAGGGTACATTTCCGTCGTAGTATTTTTCCACGGTAATTCAGTAACTTCGAAGATGACATGATTCGTGAGCCTTTTTTTTCTTTCTTTTTTTACTGTATTTTGTGACGCCAATGGGCACATCTATTGAATCAAGATTATCTCAATCTATTTAAACGAAGAAGCCCCCTTTTGAAAATTGATTTCTTCGTTCGAGCCAAGGCAGGAACGAAATTATGGCGAGGTGGGCCACATTTTCAAGCATAGCTTATGCATTCCCTATAGATTATTGAGAATCATAAAAAAAGGAACACACTGAACAGTACATTATCGCTTGCGTATTCTTTTCAGACCTTAGGTCAGTATATAACATTTTATTCAAGTTTATGCAATCCCCTGTAGAAGTCGAGGAGAACAGGTCGAGTGAACACGTAAATTCAACAAACAGAAAAAGGTAAATTGACCTCGGAGGAAATCCAGCCAAGCCATGATTTCGGTTTCATGTTACCGAAAACCGAATCCAGAGAGTCGAGATGACTAACGCTTTTCGTCCCTTTTTTTCTTCTTCTTCTTCGCTCCCTTTCAAATCATATGATTCCTATCCCAACAGGTGCAAACAACACCTCTAGGTCTAGGTAACACGAGAGCCATTTCCGGATAAGGGTAAAACGTGATAGGTTGAAAAAAAAACTAAAAAAAAAATCGCCCAACTGCGCACACACTTGCGTGAGTCACAAGAAATCGGAAACACCTGTGTATTGCCCGCTCACGGCTTCGAAATGTATCGACAAGTTCATGCACCTCCTGAACGCCCAACTCCGCAACAAGATTTTCTTTCGGGGAAACATGAAGTGAAAATGCCCCAAGGGCTACAATACTATCTACGCGTCAACTCTCGGATACACTTCCGCAAAGCCCCGCTAACGCGGCTGTTCACAAAAAGGTCTTTCCTAGCCCGAGGCAACTCAAAAACGCAACCCGTATTGACAGTAGGGGAAGAAAACGAAAAACACCTGGTTTACTCGAATACTCGTACTATACATAAGACGTCATTTGAGTTCCAGACGATACTGTACTGCATTCGTACGTCTGGAAAAAAAAAGAAAGAAGTGCGCGAATCCAAGACGCTCTATTACTCATTTTATTTTGAATCGGAAAAGTATGTTTCGACAGTTCAGCTAAGACGACATCTGTTTCCCGATTCCTGAGTGACGGCCCTTGGACTTCTGATATTTTTTTCCCTCAAAAAAAAAAAAAAGGGTTGGTTATTGGCAATCAATTCATCAACGAATATAAGACGCCAACAAATGTGACATGAGCCCTGACTCCATTAGAACCATTCCCGGCACCAGAAATGCTTCATACGCGGAGGTTTCTCATGAGTTCTGAGTTTGAAACAGAATGTGGATTTACCTCATCATTGCGATTGGCGAAGGAAAAATATAAAAAAATTCCAATGAAGAAACAACTTTCAATTTCTTGCACAAGAAAAGCAAAGCAAGCATTCAATTCGTACAACTTCCACTAGCCTTTAAAATTTCAGAAAATTTTCAAGATCTGCCCAAGCTGTACAATTTCCAAGTATTGCAGTTTTGTGCGGCAATAATTGTAAAATAAATTCGTAACTTTCTCTATTGAAGGGTACCTTGAAACAAAAGTTACCAATGATAAATTTTACAGATGTTCAGTAATTAATGAAACAAGGCGTTACAATGTGAGAAAAGGGTCACAAATACTGTAATACAAAGTTGATTTGAAGGATCTTTGACAAAAAATGATGAACCAGCTTCTGTGAACATTCCTCGTTTCCAAGATGCTTAAATCATGATTTCATATGTCTATTTACGCTAATTCTTCACTTAAATCTGTTGATAAAGAGATGCAAAATGTTCAACGATCAAGAAAAAAAAATCACTCGCAATCATCTAAAAAATGGGTTTACACCCTCAACAAAGGTTTGCGGTTTACACCCAAGATTTTTTAGGATTACACAAAAATTCGTGGTTGCATATTTCTCCAGCAACGAGAATGCAATGGAAGTTGATATTCCTACTTTTTCAAACGTCGCGTCAAAATTGCCGAAGAACAAATTTATAAGATGATCGCGGAAGGACAACAAATGCGACGTAGTCTCAATTTCCTTCTATAATTCATTAAAGAGGATGAACGAAAAGATGAGACGCACTTTCATGTCCCCTTAACATTTCGCAGAAAGGTGATTTTGAGGTCGTCTGACAAGTCACGCACACGAGGCATTGTCTAATTTTTTTTTCTTTCAAGCTCACGCCCTTAGCAACCCAGGAAGTTCCGCGCTCACGGACACGAAGGTAATTTAATTCCTCACCAAATTTCGGTTTGTATTCAGTCAGGCAACGCTTCCGTCGTTTTTACCTGACCGCTATTTGCGGAAATTAGCGAGAAAATGATTCTAGTTTCCGCAAATTGAATATCTAACGGGGATCTAATTCACGTACACCGGCACATCACTTCAGCCATTGACCGGAAACCTCGGAACTTTAGCGAATAAAAGCAATTTTCTCAATAATAGACACTACTGTACACTTGCACAAGGACTCGCTTGGTTCAACCGCCAATTACACCTAACGGTAACGGATTCAATTTGCAAATGGAAATTTGTTCTATACGGTACTAGAAAGACATTTAACAAATTTCAAACTGATATGAAACGATTTAAAACGCTGCATTTGTGTCCCGTGTTGATACCCTCTCAAACTTCCGGAGATACGGAGGTAATCCAACGCTTAGTTTAGAGACTTCAAGTGGCTCTCAAAAATGTTTCAAAAATCCCTCAAATATTTTGGGATATCTCCGTGGTTCAATTCAGGTCTTAAAGGTTGAAAGAAATTAAATCATACTTAATCAAGTCAAACGGATACGAATCCTCTCGGAAAATATTTTCAAGTATTGGAAGTAATATACAGTACTTGTATGTCTCGTGAAATCGGAAAGTGACGTTTTTCGGAAAGATTAGAACGTTGAAATAGAAATCATTTGACCAAATTTTTCCCCAGAGTGAGGAATCTTGCGCATTTAGCATAATCCAAAATAAATCGTCAAGCTTTGAAGAACAGCGCCTGAGCGTTTGAGTAACCATTTTAAAGGTAGGGTTGGACGTCAGACATAACTGAAGTTCATTGCGCAAAAAAAAGAAAAACACTTGATCGGGACTCAAGTGGCTTCTTTCTTCGATTAGATTTGAAATATGAAATGCAGCAGCACGCTGCGGAAAATGCATTCCTACAGAAAATTGCATTCATAGTTTCAAAGAGGAAAACCTTCGAAGAGCGTTCTGTAAATAATTGAAAAAAAATCGATCTTTGCCAAGATAATATTCAAAATGTATCCAAAAAATGAAGTGCCCACTTGAAAAGCGCCTTGCGGAAAGCACCCATAAAAATATGAACATTTCAATCCTAATTAATTCAATTTTATTGGAACAGTATTTTCTTCCGAAGATAATACCTACGCTGATGAAGAGGTTCATTCAATCTTTTACGAGGCCAAAAGAACGTAAGTACTGCACGAGACTAATTTTTATTTTCGTGGAAACAATGTTAACGAAAATAGCGTCCCATAAAACGCTGGAAAAATTGAGAAGGCGAAACCAGCGCAAATGCGTAGAAGTTTCCCCGCCACCGTGTCAAGGTCATTTCCGGATCGCACAACAACTTCCTCAACTACTGTACCCACCAAGTAGATCCCGTTGATCACGAACAAGTTGCACGTAATTATAGGCCTCGTTTCGAACGCAAGGCAGCAAAACCTCGATCTCATCAACCGATTGTATGGACTTGTGTCACAAGGATTGAACAACGCGG